TGTGTGTGTGTGTGTGTGTGTGTGTGTGTGTCTGTTTCTCTGTGTGTGTGTCTGTGTCTCTCTGTGTGTGTGTCTGTGTCTCTCTGTGTGTGTGTGTGTGTGTGTGTGTGTGTGTGTGTGTGTGTGTGTGTGTGTTTCAGGGTGGTGGTGTGTTCATCTCAGAATAAAGAGCTGCAGAGAACCGTCGATCAGCTGGAGAAACACAACGTGTGAGTGAACAACATCAGTCCTGCAACATTCCTGCTGATATGAAAGAAGATGATTTTCCACATTTTTATACACACACACATCCATATATATATATAAGTGCATTAAAAATAATATGTATATATCAGCTTTATACACGCACTTATCAAAGCAGTCAAATGTCAACAATTTTCAAATTCTCCATTTAATGCAAAAATAAGATTTTTGTCTGTGTGTTTGGATGCAGTCAAATCAGAAAACATGCTCATGTCTGCATTTTCTTCTGTCTCTGGATCATCATTCTGATCTTGAAATCAGGATTAGAAATAAAATAATGTGTGAAAATGGGCTGAGAACTGATCAGATTCAGACAGGAATCCTGTGTTTGTGGTGTTTTTCTGCCGTTTAATGGATAATACTAGACTAATCACCACACAAATGATTCTCAAAGGCAGAAACACAATGAAATGCATCATATTTAGTGAGAACGTGTGACACTGGCGTCAGCAGCTCAGCATTCGTCAGAAACGCACTGGGTTTCATTCAGCAGAATAAAAATAATCCAGAATTGAGTCATTTTCATGTAGTTTGTGTGGTCATCGTGTGTGTTTCAGGACTCTTGTGGCTCAGCTGCACAAACTTCAGGCTTTGATCAAGCAAACGGCCACCAAAGCGGCACAGACGAGCACGTGCATCATGGTCCGATCCATCTCTGTCTGCTCAGATCATGAATACAAGCACCAGACTGTGGATCTCACGAGTGTGTTCTTGCTCCTCACAGATCCTCCTCTTCTCTCTGGCTCTGCTCGTCTTCCCCAGTTACAGTCCGTTCAGCCGTCGTTCTCCGTCAGCGGAGGACACTTACGCTCCGGCCGCCGGTGAGACGCGCTCACTAAACATCACTAATGAACCTTACATGACCGCTGAAGCTTCTCCTGCTGAGCGCAAAAGAGCAGTGTTGGTAAACAAACATTATAAAGTGGAGAGTTCCGGTGCTTGGCTCTGATTGGCTGAGCCGCGTTCGAAGCTGTTGTAAATGACGCTACAAAGTAACACACACCTTTGTTTACGTTTGTGTGTTGCTCGGCAACCACTTTGTAGCAACCACAACTGTTTCTGAGGAGCTACATTGTTTGGTGGAAGAACACTGTGTTTATTAATATCATTACACTTTATTTGCTCTGCTTTATTTTGTGAAACCTTACTACGTATATAACCGTTTTATAAAAGCAATAATCCCCGTGAAGCCGTGGTTTACAGTGAATTTATAACAGCTAAGGGGAATTATTGCAGTTTCAGTTGCCATGGTAACAAACAATAACACCTGGAGATTTAGCAACAGTGTATACTGTACATATTTCTACATCATTTCTTTTAAATACTAACTATTCATATACTATTACTATAATATTAAAAAGTTCAGTTTCATTTTAATTTTAGTTCAGATAAACAAACTAAAATGAAAAGTTCCGAATTACACAAAAAATTAAAAAAGATTTAGAGTTAAACTAGTTAAAAATAAATAAAGATTACAATTAAATTAAAAATTAAAAAAAATAATAATTAAAAGTTTAGAATTACAGTAGTTAAAATAAATACAAAATAAAATTATAAATTTAGAATTAAACAAGTTAAAATAGAATTAAAAGATGACAGTTTAACTAGTTAAAATAAAAATACTTTTAAAAGTTTAGAATTAGACTAGTTAGAATAAATGCAAATACATTTAGAATCAAACTATAAATAAAACTGAATGTTTGGAAATAAACTAGTTAAAAAATAAAATTAAAAGCTTTGAAGTAACCTAGTTAAAATAAATCAAAAGTAATATTAAAAGTTTACATTTAAAGTAGTTAAAATAATTTTTTTACAATTTCATGTTTAGAATTAAAAGCTTGTATGAGCACCTAACACCCAACCAGTGCCAGTCCGAGGGCAGATATCATATCAGTGTGAAATGTGACTTCTGATTTCAGTGATTTCCAGAAGCATCCTGAATGAGCTGGACTCTCTTCCGCTCCTGGAGGATCCTGTAGAAGATGATCCGATGTCTTCAGAGGCTCTGCCGCCCGCATCAGCACACAGACCCGCAGACGCAGACGCAGACGCAGACGGGCCGCAGGACTGGAGCGGAGACCAGAGGAACGGCTCGGCCGCGGCGGAAGGAAACGCAGACGCAGACAAACCGCCGCACGCTGATGAAATGTGAGGCCACTCGACCGGTTCAGCGCTGGGACGAAGCCAAGAGAAGAGTTTCTCTGACATGCCTTTATTTATTCTCTCTGAACACAGATACAGGTGTGTCTGAGCCTGCAGCGCTCTTCGTCATCATCATCATCAGAGGATAGTCATTATGTGCTTTAGTGAGTCACAACCCAACAATAATCATATCAATGTTTGATTTAAGGATTCGTGTTTGTGCGTGGTTTTTTGTTAAGTAAGTTTTTACTCCTCTGACACGGATCGGATATCATTGCGCACATGAGTGAGATTTGAAATCAGCTTCAAATCTGATTTCTGAAGATCATGTGACACTGAAGACTGGAGTAATGATGCTGAAAATACAGCTGCGCATCACAGAAATACATTACAGTTTAACAGATACTCACATAGAAAACAGCTGTTTTACATTCTAATAATATTTCACATTTTTACTGTTTTTACTGTATTTTTGAGCAAATAAATGCAGGCTCGGTGAGCAGAAGAGACTGTCAGTAACATTATAAATCGTACTGATCCCAAACCGTTGAACACTAGTGTGTCTGAACGCTCATATCCGTTTCCTCCGTTTGTAAACACATCGTTTTTCTTCCTAATGAAGCTGCTTCGCTTTCACTTTTTTATAATTAATTGAAAAGCTAGATTAGCACAAGGCAGAGATCACAATTAAAAGTCTTTGGCTTGTGTGACTTTTGTTTGTTTGTTTGTTTTTTGTTCTTTTTAAACGCTTCAGATCGTCTGAGGGTGAATGGATCGGGTCTCTTTTCTTATTTTATTGACTTCTGAATAAAAAAGACATTTGTAGCATGTTTTGTTGCTGTTTCTGTTCATTTGAGTCACTAAGAATGAAGACGGAATTGAGTCTGCACTGCTAAAAAGTGCTGTTTGTCTTGTTTTTCAGCACAAATGTCTAAAGATTCTTAAATCAAGACACATTTACTGAAGACCTTAAGTCTTGTTTTATGAAGAAAATAAGTGCATTTATGCATAAAACCAGAACAAATTGGCCACTGGCAGATATTTGTTCTTATTTTATTCATAGACTCCCTTTATTTTGATGCATTTTTCATAAAACGGGAATTTAATTTTTTATACACACACTCTCTCTCTCACACACACACACACACACACACACTCTCACACACACACACACACTCTCTCACACTCTCACTCACTCTCTCACGCACACACGCTCTCTCACACACACTCTCACACACACTCACTCTCTCACACACTCACGCACACACTCAATCACTCACACACACACTCACTCTCACACACTCACGCACACATACACTCACGCACACACACACACACACTCTCATCTCTCGCGCACACACACACACTCTCTCTCTCTCTCGCACACGCACACACACACTTTCTCTCGCTCACACGCACACACACACTCTCTCTCGCACACGCGCACACACACACTCTCTCTCTCGCACACACACACACACACACACACACACTCTCTCTCTCACGCTCACTCACACACTCACACACACACTCTCTCTCTCACACTCTCACGCACACATACACTCACACTCACTCTCTCACACACACACTCACTCACGCACACATACACTCACTCTCTCTCACACTCTTACGCACACACGCTCTCACACACACTCACTCTCTCTCTCACACACTCACGCACACATACACTCACGCACACATACACTCACGCACACATACACTCACGCACACATACACTCACGCACACATACACTCACGCACACATACACTCACGCACACATACACTCACGCACACATACACTCACGCACACATACACTCACGCACACATACACTCACGCACACATACACTCACGCACACATACACTCACGCACACATACACTCACGCACACATACACTCACGCACACATACACTCACGCACACATACACTCACGCACACATACACTCACGCACACATACACTCACGCACACATACACTCACGCACACATACACTCACGCACACATACACTCACGCACACATACACTCACGCACACATACACTCACGCACACATACACTCACGCACACATACACTCACGCACACATACACTCACGCACACATACACTCACGCACACATACACTCACGCACACATACACTCACGCACACATACACTCACGCACACATACACTCACGCACACATACACTCACGCACACATACACTCACGCACACATACACTCACGCACACATACACTCACGCACACATACACTCACGCACACATACACTCACGCACACATACACTCACGCACACATACACTCACGCACACATACACTCACGCACACATACACTCACGCACACATACACTCACGCACACATACACTCACGCACACATACACTCACGCACACATACACTCACGCACACATACACTCACGCACACATACACTCACGCACACATACACTCACGCACACATACACTCACGCACACATACACTCACGCACACATACACTCACGCACACATACACTCACGCACACATACACTCACGCACACATACACTCACGCACACATACACTCACGCACACATACACTCACGCACACATACACTCACGCACACATACACTCACGCACACATACACTCACGCACACATACACTCACGCACACATACACTCACGCACACATACACTCACGCACACATACACTCACGCACACATACACTCACGCACACATACACTCACGCACACATACACTCACGCACACATACACTCACGCACACATACACTCACGCACACATACACTCACGCACACATACACTCACGCACACATACACTCACGCACACATACACTCACGCACACATACACTCACGCACACATACACTCACGCACACATACACTCACGCACACATACACTCACGCACACATACACTCACGCACACATACACTCACGCACACATACACTCACGCACACATACACTCACGCACACATACACTCACGCACACATACACTCACGCACACATACACTCACGCACACATACACTCACGCACACATACACTCACGCACACATACACTCACGCACACATACACTCACGCACACATACACTCACGCACACATACACTCACGCACACATACACTCACGCACACATACACTCACGCACACATACACTCACGCACACATACACTCACGCACACATACACTCACGCACACATACACTCACGCACACATACACTCACGCACACATACACTCACGCACACATACACTCACGCACACATACACTCACGCACACATACACTCACGCACACATACACTCACGCACACATACACTCACGCACACATACACTCACGCACACATACACTCACGCACACATACACTCACGCACACATACACTCACGCACACATACACTCACGCACACATACACTCACGCACACATACACTCACGCACACATACACTCACGCACACATACACTCACGCACACATACACTCACGCACACATACACTCACGCACACATACACTCACGCACACATACACTCACGCACACATACACTCACGCACACATACACTCACGCACACATACACTCACGCACACATACACTCACGCACACATACACTCACGCACACATACACTCACGCACACATACACTCACGCACACATACACTCACGCACACATACACTCACGCACACATACACTCACGCACACATACACTCACGCACACATACACTCACGCACACATACACTCACGCACACATACACTCACGCACACATACACTCACGCACACATACACTCACGCACACATACACTCACGCACACATACACTCACGCACACATACACTCACGCACACATACACTCACGCACACATACACTCACGCACACATACACTCACGCACACATACACTCACGCACACATACACTCACGCACACATACACTCACGCACACATACACTCACGCACACATACACTCACGCACACATACACTCACGCACACATACACTCACGCACACATACACTCACGCACACATACACTCACGCACACATACACTCACGCACACATACACTCACGCACACATACACTCACGCACACATACACTCACGCACACATACACTCACGCACACATACACTCACGCACACATACACTCACGCACACATACACTCACGCACACATACACTCACGCACACATACACTCACGCACACATACACTCACGCACACATACACTCACGCACACATACACTCACGCACACATACACTCACGCACACATACACTCACGCACACATACACTCACGCACACATACACTCACGCACACATACACTCACGCACACATACACTCACGCACACATACACTCACGCACACATACACTCACGCACACATACACTCACGCACACATACACTCACGCACACATACACTCACGCACACATACACTCACGCACACATACACTCACGCACACATACACTCACGCACACATACACTCACGCACACATACACTCACGCACACATACACTCACGCACACATACACTCACGCACACATACACTCACGCACACATACACTCACGCACACATACACTCACGCACACATACACTCACGCACACATACACTCACGCACACATACACTCACGCACACATACACTCACGCACACATACACTCACGCACACATACACTCACGCACACATACACTCACGCACACATACACTCACGCACACATACACTCACGCACACATACACTCACGCACACATACACTCACGCACACATACACTCACGCACACATACACTCACGCACACATACACTCACGCACACATACACTCACGCACACATACACTCACGCACACATACACTCACGCACACATACACTCACGCACACATACACTCACGCACACATACACTCACGCACACATACACTCACGCACACATACACTCACGCACACATACACTCACGCACACATACACTCACGCACACATACACTCACGCACACATACACTCACGCACACATACACTCACGCACACATACACTCACGCACACATACACTCACGCACACATACACTCACGCACACATACACTCACGCACACATACACTCACGCACACATACACTCACGCACACATACACTCACGCACACATACACTCACGCACACATACACTCACGCACACATACACTCACGCACACATACACTCACGCACACATACACTCACGCACACATACACTCACGCACACATACACTCACGCACACATACACTCACGCACACATACACTCACGCACACATACACTCACGCACACATACACTCACGCACACATACACTCACGCACACATACACTCACGCACACATACACTCACGCACACATACACTCACGCACACATACACTCACGCACACATACACTCACGCA